GATGCTGTTTTTGGGCTCACAGTGTTTTGTGATTTGATGATGTTTCATTATATCTTTTGGTACTGCGCCGTGAGTTAGTGTCTTATCGTTGGCTACATCAGAACTGTTGAGCTGCTTTTTCTTTGGCGCTGTCCTTAATAATGTGTGCGGCGTTTCGGTATATTTTAGTGGTAAGTGGATGTTTATTTTGTCATTTCGTGAATGGCTTTTAACTGGTTTTTTTTTTTTTTTTTCAATTATGAACTGTTATTGTTTCCGTTGCTGAATCTGCTGTTGTTACTTTTACTGTTGTTTTTTCCTGTTGCTGTTGTTGGTTCTTATGTTGTTACTTTAACTGTTGTAGTTCCTGTTGTTGGTTCTACTGTTGTTACTTTTACTGTTGTCGTTCCTGTTGTTGGTTCTACTGTTGTTACTTTTACTGTTGTCGTCCCTGTTGTTGGTTCTGCTGTTGTTAATTTTACTGTTGCTGGTTTTGCTGTTGTTACTTTTACTGTTGTTGTTGCTGTTGTTGGATCTGCTGTTGTTACTTTTACTGTTGTTGTTGCTGTTGTTGGATCTGCTGTTGTTACTTTCACTGTTGTTGTTGCTGTTGTTGGATCTGCTGTTGTTACTTTCACTGTTGTTATTGCGTTATTGGTTCTGATATTTGTACTTTTACTGTTGATGATCCTGTTGCTGTTGTTGGTTCTGCTATTGTTACTTTTACTGTTGTTTTTTTCTGTTGCTGTTGTTGGTTCTGGTGTTGTTACCTTTACTGTTGTTCTACTGGAGTTGTTGTTACTCTTTTTTTTTTTAAAGTTCGCCGACTGTAAATTCCGGCGGCAGGTATTCTGGTTGTTCGTCAACTCCCGGACTTTGGTCTTGATCAAACAATTAGTTTTGCCCTCCCATCCGTTTTAGAGATTTTGTTTATTTGTATTAAAGCTGTTGGTTCTTTGCCTCTCAGGCAGATGCACTCCAACTTTGAAACAAACACCGCAACTGGTTGCCTGCTTCGACATGCTTGTTTGGGGAGCAGTGAGTCTGTTCTTAGTTTTCTAGAATGGAACCCCCGGAATCCACACGGTGAACTAGCGTTGTTGATACTTACACTGTTGTTATTGTCGACGTCTGTGGCTTAGACGTTGCGACCGCGCTTCCTAATGCCGGGGTGCCGGGTTCGATCCCAGCAGCGATTTGTCTTGCTTTGGTTTCGACAGTGGTACCGAGAGCTGACCGTTTAGAAAGCAGTGGCAAACTACTGAACGTAAAATTTGCCTTAAAAAAAAAAACCAAAACAGCGAAAAAGAATGCTGAGGTTGGTTCTGAAACGTCATGTAAAGGATAGACAACTAAAACAGTTGTTGTTATTGTTGCTACTGGAACTGTTGTTATGACTGCTGAACTTTTGGTGTTATTATTGTTGTATTTACTACTACTACTCTTTTTGATAACCTAGAACAGTGCAACATTATGTCCTTAATTTGATGGGGAATGGAACCTGTGACCACCGGGCCGACAGGCAGACGTTACAGACACTCAACAGCTTTCTTCTTTTTGCCGTTCAAATTTGAAAGGTCGATTATCACGTTAGGTCGTGACTGGCAGCTACGGTGCGATATCTCTCAGCTTTTCACCAAACACATTCAGGAGTCAGCCAACCTCATTGTTCGCCTTTTACGGCATGCTTGTTATGGGGCGGTTTCCTGCCGACAAACTCAGCAACTGAATCGTCGGGCATATCCTTCACCAAACCGACATTGTAAAGAAACAAAAGTAGAACAAAAATGGAAGAATTAAAGAAGGAAAGAAGAAAGAAGAAAGAAGAGCAAGAAGAAAAAGACGAAAGAAGGGAGGAAGGAAGGAAAAAGCAGCCACAGTGAATAATTTTAAGAAAGAATAAAAAGATATTTCAAATATAAATATTCCATACGATAAGAAACACAATTCCATCTCTCATAATAGGTATCATGCCTTGGGTGTTTCACAATGACAATGTATTCACCCCCCCCCCCTCACACACACGCGCGCGCGCGCGCGTCAGTTTTAAAAAAAAAGGCGGTGACGACTTTACGGGTGACCGAACGTCTGTTGGATCGATAAAAACTGACATACCTCGACTTCGGGAAAATGCTGTTCTCTGAATAGGATTCATGAAGGTGGCATTTTTCCGAAACGATGCAATCTACGTCTGGCAAACCTCTGTAAACTTTTGTTTCTTTCCGTCTTCTAGTGTGTACTTTATTGTTTTTCCTGTAGTATTAAATTGTTTGATGTTTTTTGGGTATCATTCATCTTTTCTGCTTTGATCTCTCTTCAAAGGGCAGCTGGTAATTTTTGCACTGGTCGGCCCAATACACCTGATTTCTGCCGATCCATAATTCTCCTTTGAGGACATGCTAGTTAGATGTCCCTTTCAATGTTAAAAAGGAAACTATCATTTACTATGCCTTTGTGCGTGTTGGGCATATAGGGATAGACATATAGGTACATATCACGAAAGGCACCCCATCTTGTAGGGCCCGAGATTTTCTGCCGGCGCCCATTCAGGTCGAGGCGGTTCCCACAGGCTGTTCTATGTTTTGTAGGAATGTTAGGATGTGCGTTCCTTCACATTCGCCGTCAATACACACCGTGCGGTAAGCAGCTTCTGCTCGTTCGAGGCCCGACACTAAAGTGTGGAGCTCTCTTTTGTGACAGGCGGCACTTAACTAGGTTGTGTGTTGTTTTGTGTTTGTGTTTTTGCGCGAGTGAGTGTTAGACTAGTTCAACTGTGTCTCTTGTGCAAAAATTACTTGTGTGAGAAATCGTGACATTTTATTTTGAGCCCTAGGTCAAGCCACCAAGTGACGCCGCAGTGATAGCGATGAAGAGCGAAGGCACTGCACGAGTAGCACACGCAGTGCCGGCTGCTCACAGCGGGGAAAATAGAATGCTTATAGCGTTGAAAATAACAAAAACGTGACACCTCTAGAAGATAGAAAAGCCTGTGGGAAACCTCGCTCCCAGCGAAAACGTGTGATTTCCGTGAAAGCACTTCGCTAGGGCGGTCAATGTTTATGTGATCTAGAGTGGGGGAGGGGGGAGATATAGGTGATGAAATGGCTTATGCTGACAGGGCCAAAAGATGTCGATGTGAGCTGACCTGTTCACGTTTCTCGACTCATCTACACACTTTCTTTCAGAGGTCAGAGGGGTGTCACGTTGTGATTATATCTTCTAAAAGAGTCTACCGTGTGACCTAGGCTCAGGCTGTGGTTAGGGAGTTTGTGTTAGGTCCAGTTCTAGATGTTATAGGGGCGTTGAAAGCTATGTCGTCGTGTAGTATAGAACACGGGACATCGGCGCTGATGTAATTGGAGGCAAGACAAATTGACACCCCTCCGACGTAGAAGAGTCTGAGAAAGTATGAATGAAAGGTCAGCCAGTGTGTACATGGGCCGGGAAACGTGAACTGGGCCCGTAGGCGCAGAACATTCACATGAAGTTGTGAAACCACAGAAAACATTGAAGACATGACAAAGAACGAAAACTGAAAGAAATATATAAAGACGGACGGAAGAATGATGGAAAAAATAATATACGGAGATTTAAACATGAGGAGAGTGTAAATGAGAAAGAAAGAAAGAAAGAAAGAAAGAAAGAAAGAAAGAAAGAAAGAAAGAAAGAAAGAAAGAAAGAAAGAAAGAAAGAAAGAAAGAAAGAAAGAAAGAAAGAAAGAAAGAAAGAAAGAAAGAAGTCGATGAATTTAGAGTAGACAAAAAGAAAGAAGGAAAGAAAGAGAGAGAGAGAGAGAGAGAGAGAGAGAGAGAGAGAGAGAAAGAAAGAAAGAAAGAAAGAAAGAAAGAAAGACAGAAGGAAAGAAAGAGAGACAGACAGACAGACAGACAGACAGACAACACTGATATGGTAGACGTGAGAGAAATGAAAGAGAAAAGACTGTTGAGAAAGAAAATAAACTAGCGGCATCTGGCGAAACCCAGCATCGGCACCCATAAATATTTGCTCCGTGCTCCCAGTTTGTGTGTGTAACCGGCAAGCTGTTTATCCTCCAATTTCCTCCTGTTTATTTGTTATGCCCAAGCAGTTTATGTATGCAGTATCATCGTCATGTAGCAGGTCCTCTCTAGAGCCTCGTTCTCATCACGATCTGCCTGAAAGGAACTGTCTCTGGCCAGCTCTCCCGCCTCACGTAATTTCTCATTCAAGGAGTCACTTAAATTCTGTGCCCGTCTTCATGTTGGTCGGTCCCTGCCCCTTGCTCCTGGTACAGTGCATTCTGTTGTTTTTAAAACTACCATTACTGCCTGTAATTTCCACTTTTGCGGACAGAGACGGTCTTTTAGCCTGAGATTTTAAGGCCGCTTTGATAGTGCTGTCGCCACGGACTGTGACGCTTTTTATACTTATGTTTTTGTTTATTTTTTTTTAACTGTCATTGTAACTTGTACTAATTGTTATTGTTTATAGTTTTATGACAAATGTTTTCCCTGCTTTTACTCAATTGTTACTATGTTTTTAACGTTGACGCTGTTTTTTCTAAGTTTTTATAATGTGTTCTCATGTTATTTGTCATGTTATTCTAGTGTCATGAAATGTATTAGAAGAGCTGCAGGAATTTCAGAGAAAGACAGAATACGAAATCAGACAAATGCTCGGAATAAAGCCAGTCTCATCGGTCATCAAAGAACAAGAAATGAAGTGGTTTGGACACCTTACAAGAACGCCCTGGTACTATCTACCACAGCGAGATACATCAAAACTTTACAATGGGTACAGAGCGAGTGGAAGACCTTAGAAAATATAAATTGATGGCATTAAAAACAGCCTTACAGAAATTAACATCAATCTTAATAGTGTTCTTGACAGAGCTCATCAACAAACGTTACATCTCCCCCGACACTTCACTGAGGTACAATACAAGGTGGAAGAGAAGAAGAAGAAGAAGATGAAGGAGAAGACGAAGATTCTACTGTCATCCTGATTATTAATAATTGATGTTGGGCTTATTGCATTCACAGATTATGCCGTCAGATCGCACCTCGGATCGAGTATGTCCCAAGTCAGAATCAGATTCCTGTCCTTCGGGTAAGTTCGACCTTGTCTCTGTCTCTGGTCTAGTGTCATGTTTATGTTTATGTTTATTCGACGGACCAATATGATGGCACAAGGGTAGTAACCCATAGGTGCTCCGTTGTACTTTTAACTCAAGCCTGAGTCTGAAGAATCTCAGCCCAATGCATGAACTGCGTTGTTGTACCGTCGAGGATCCTGAAATACTTTGAGTAGATTTTTAACTCTAAATTTTAACCATATTTCCCAGTGCTCCCTTTCTCTCTCATCACATGACCAAAGAAGTCTGCCTAACCTGCAAATTAAAAATGCAATCATGGAAAATGGTGTCAACATAAGTCCACAAAAAACAATTTCTACTGAAAATAACTGTAAAACTGTTACAAGATTGTGCTACGCCACACAGAAACCTAGAAAGCAAGCCAGATGACAGTAGAAGAATTTTATACATGCATTATAATGACATTGTATTTACATTAGGGCTGTACCGAATATTCGCTTCGTATTCGGGGCCGAATAGTGGACCTATTGACTATTCGGTATTCGGCCGAATAGTTGCGGTCGGGCCGAATACGAATAGTAGTTACCTTACACCCGCTTTTGCATACACGGCCTTAATGCTGTCAACATGGAACGATTGGTTTTGTTGAAAGCTAATGCAGCTTTCATGCATTAACTAAGCTGTCAGTGACAATTTCCAAGTTTAGTTACTTGTTATAATACTTAGGATTATTTCATTGTTAGTTATTAGTTACCACAGACTGACTGAAGAATGCAAAACATAAAATGTTTTTAAATGTTTACTATTCCTTAGGAATACTAACTAGACATCGAAAGAATATAAACTCCGGCCACATCCAAGTCGATAATATGATAATCAAACGAACGGAAACATATAAGTATTTGGGTGAAAACTTCAACTGCTGGGAGTCGCCGTGGCCGAGAGGCTAGACGCTCGCCGCGGATCAGAAGGTCGTGGGTTCGCTCCCTGGCGGAGACGGACTTTTCTTCAAAAATGACCTTGGCTCTCAGAAATACCGGGTGCAATCCCGGGAAGTAGAGGCGGCCGGCGTGAGCTGACCACATCACCCATCTTGTGCCGTTGGTCTATAAAAATATACTATGCCCTTAAACGTCTGCTAAAGTCTAAAAGTATACTATGTGCTAAAGTCAAAGTGTCCGTCTCGCAACACCAAGATCAAAAAATATAAAACGTCGATAAGACCAGTCGTTGTAATATGGCTCTGAAACTTGAAGCAGAAATAAAAGAGATGAGGCCTTATTACTGGTTTTCGAAAACAGTCTAACGACAAATCTTTGGACCCATCAAAGATGCTAACAACGGGGAATGGAGAGTCAGAAGCAACAGCGTAACACATAATCTGTTTAAAACACCATTGATCACTGGCATAATGAGAGCTAACAGACACAAATGGTTGGGGCATATTGAAAGAATGTTAGAAGACAGAGAAGTAAACTGTATACACCTGAGAGAGGAATGGGCGTAGACCACAAGGCAGACAAAAAAGAATATCGAGAGATAATGTCCAGTCAGACCTGCAAACAATTGGTGTCACAAATTGTGAAAGAGAAGGCAATCCAGAGAGATGAATGCAGCAGAAAACCTCAAGGGCTCAGAATGCTATAGAAGAAGATGACTATTCTGTGCTACTTTATGTGAAGTACAAGTTCAGCGTACATTTGACATTATAATTGAGTGTGTGTGTGTGTGTGTGTGTGTTTTTTTTTTTTTGAAAATATTGTATACACTATACAGTATTCGTATTCGGCCGAATAGTTGGTCCCTTTATTCGTATTCGGCGAATAATGAAAATCCCTATTCGGTACAGCCCTAGTTTACATGTTTCTGAGCAAAATTGGTGAGGTTTCGGACAAAATTCTTCTCAATGATGGTAGTTTAAATGGCGTTAGTAGGTTCTAAACGGCCTATAAATGCCCAACTTGGTTTTCATATTTACATTGTACGGCAAAAACTGATGTGAAAGATACAGAAAATAGTTTCATTTAGCAGGGTTATAATGGTAGTGTAGTAACAACCCAAGCGGCGGCGACGTGGTGTAGCGGCTAGACGCTCGCCTGTGGATCTGAAGGTCGTGTGGTTCGGGTCCTGACGGAGTGGCAGTTTATTTGTCCTTACAAAAATTACCTTTCAAAAGAATGGACAGCAGTGGTAAGTACACACTGTGGACCACCGCATAAACTGAGAACGAAAGTTACATTTTGGTGAGAGACACAATTATCGACGTAGAGACAGAAACTGGTCCCGAGTTAGTAGCCTTTTACGACCTGTATGTTAAGAGGTGAAGGGTCTGTTTTGTTTCTGAAAAGATTTAGGCTGCGGAATCCGCATGAGGTCAGACTTACAGTTCAACCAGATAAACAGGCTAGACCGAAGTAATACGGACCAAATCTTCCGCCTGTCTTCTGTTTATGATACTTCAAACTTCCTTTTCTTATACCTTGATCATCTTTATTCAGAAACAGAAACCCATCGTTTCTTGAGGGTGTTTCTTTTTGCACAGACAGGCAGTCACTAGAATATACTCCTTTTTTCCCGGAAATCTTTAGAGGTTGTCACAGGAGCCTGGGTAGTTCGTCTTTTTGTTTTATGGCAGTATGATTATTATATAATGTAGTGAATCCCGGACAGTTGGTAAATTATGGACAATTTATTTGAAAGCTGTGGAGGTGACTCTTCAAAGACCAATAATGAGAATACTCTGGGCAGATACACAGAGTATTGAAGATGCCTTGAAATAAACTGACTCACGAAGAGAACTGATTGCCCACATCCGAAAGAAAGAAACATTTTTTCTTCGTGTGATAAGAAGGAGAAAACTGGAGTACATCGTGAAAGTAGGAAAGTTGGAGGTGAGGGGAGAGGCAGAGGGAGACCGAGAGAAAAGATACTGGACAGTTTCGACATCATGGTATGGAGGATCCTCTTTATCAGAGTTGATTGGAGGTACACGAGACAGAAGGTTGTGTATTTATATGACTACCTACGCCGCACTACAGGGACTTGAACAACGCCGCACTACAGGGACTGAAACAACGCCGCACTACAGGGACTTGAACAACGCCGCACTACAGGGACTTGAACAACGCCGCACTACAGAGACTGAAACAACGCCGCACTACAGGGACTGAAAAAACGCCGCACTACAGGGACTTGAACAACGCCGCACTACAGGGACTTGAACAACGCCGCACTACAGGGACTTGAACAACGCCGCACTACAGGGACTTGAACAACGCCGCACTACAGGGACTTGAACAACGCCGCACTACAGGGACTTGAACAACGCCGCACTACAGGGACTTGAACAACGCCGCACTACAGGGACTTGAACAACGCCGCACTACAGGGACTTGAACAACGCCACACTACAGGGACTTGAACAACGCCGCACTACAGGGACTTGAACAACGCCGCACTACAGGGACTTGAACAACGCCGCACTACAGGGACTTGAACAACGCCGCACTACAGGGACTTGAACAACGCCGCACTACAGGGACTTGAACAACGCCACACTACAGGGACTTGAACAACGCCGCACTACAGGGACTTGAACAACGCCGCACTACAGGGACTTGAACAACGCCGCACTACAGGGACTTGAACAACGCCGCACTACAGGGACTTGAACAACGCCGCACTACAGGGACTTGAACAACGCCGCACTACAGGGACTTGAACAACGCCACACTACAGGGACTTGAACAACGCCACACTACAGGGACTTGAACAACGCCGCACTACAGGGACTTGAACAACGCCGCACTACAGGGACTTGAACAACGCCGCACTACAGGGACTTGAACAACGCCGCACTACAGGGACTTGAACAACGCCGCACTACAGGGACTTGAACAACGCCGCACTACAGGGACTTGAACAACGCCGCACTACAGGGACTTGAACAACGCCACACTACAGGGGACTGAACAACGCCGCACTACAGGACTTGAACAACGCCGCACTACAGGGACTTGAACAACGCCGCACTACAGGGACTTGAACAACGCCGCACTACAGGGACTTGAACAACGCCGCACTACAGGGACTTGAACAACGCCACACTACAGGGACTTGAACAACGCCGCACTACAGGGACTTGAACAACGCCACACTACAGGGACTTGAACAACGCCGCACTACAGGGACTTGAACAACGCCACACTACAGGGACTTGAACAGCACCGCACTACAGGGACTTGAACAACGCCACACTACAAGGACTTGAACAACGCCGCACTACAGGGACTTGAACAACGCCGCACTACAGGGACTTGAACAACGCCACACTACAGGGACTTGAACAACGCCACACTACAGGGACTTGAACAACGCCGCACTACAGGGACTTGAACAACGCCGCACTACAGGGACTTGAACAACGCCACACTACAGGGACTTGAACAACGCCGCACTACAGGGACTTGAACAACGCCACACTACAGGGACTTGAACAACTTGAACAACGCCACACTACAGGGACTTGAACAACGCCACACTACAGGGACTTGAACAACGCCGCACTACAGGGACTTGAACAACGCCGCACTACAGGGACTTGAACAACGCCGCACTACAGGGACTTGAACAACGCCGCACTACAGGGACTTGAACAGCGCCGCACTACAGTGACTTGAACAACGCCGCACTACAGGGACTTGAACAACGCCGCACTACAGGGACTTGAACAACGCCGCACTACAGGGACTTGAAGAAGTTCATCATGAGTGCAGACCCTCCTCCAAGACCGGACCTTCCTACGTGTATAAACCCCCACACAGTGAGGTCTTACCCTCTCATCGTTACTTCTTAACTTCAAAATAGACGAAGACCCTCAATATAGGGTTGTTCTTCTTTTCTTAGCATTCATCTCCCTAGTGTATAGTTTGTACTTCTCTGTTATCTGACAATCTTGAAATATGACATCAGAAATAGAAAATCTACATTATCTGGTCACGTGATGAGAAGGAGA